TTGGAAAATTTGTATAAGCTTCGTTGGTTTCGCATCCATGAAAATCAGCTTGGAAGGGGAAAACCTGAAGACTTGAGCTTCCTTTGCTCGTTAACTAACAGCACCAAGTTAGACGACGTGGATATTCACCAGAATGAGTTTGGTGGGGTATTACCTAAATGCATAGGTAATTTATCCACCACTCTCACAATATTTTCTGTATCGGACAATCAAATATTTGGTGAAATTCCAGAAGAAATCGGGAATTTGGTCAACCTGGAAAGATTGTTTATGAGTCACAATCAACTTTCAGGTGCTGTCCCCTCAAATTTGGGGAATCTACGAAATCTAGCGATACTTGTGCTAGGTGATAACAACCTGGCAGGGACTATACCATCATCTTTGGGAAGTCTAACCAAGTTGATTATACTATACCTTTCTAGGAACAACTTTCACGGAACAATTCCGTCGCACCTATCTAATTGCCGATCTCTTCAATGGCTTGATCTGTCGAATAGTAATCTCAGTGGTGCTATACCCCCACAACTCTTCGGTCTCTCATCATTAGCGATCATTTTGAACTTGTCTCAAAACCATCTGACTGGGGTTCTACCCACAGAAGTTGGCAAGTTGAGAGCTTTGACTGCGTTGGACATCTCGGACAATTTGTTGATTGGTGGAATCCCTAGTAGTTTAGGTGATTGCACTTCATTGACATCGCTAAGGTTGGAGGGCAACTTCTTCCATGGGTCGATTCCTCAATCAATCAAATTATTAGGAGGCATTGAAGAACTAGATCTTTCACGCAATAATTTGTCGGGTCAGATTCCAGAATTCTTATCGGTATTTCGTTCCTTAAAACTTTTGAATTTATCGTACAATAAGTTTGAAGGCATGCTACCATGTGAAGGAGTCTTTAAGAATGCTACCGCTATTTTTATTATTGGGAACAATAAGCTCTGTGGCGGACTGCCAGAATTTCACCTCCCCGACTGCATCTCCAAAAGCTCCAAGCGCAGAAAAATCAATATAGTGATATTGTCTGCTTCTCTTGTTTTTGGAGTTCTTGTAGTAGCTGTTATTCTTGCTTTTATCTATCATTGTCGGTTGAAGAAGAAAGTAAATGAACCAATTCCAAGTTCGATGGATGGTTCACCTCCGAACGTTTCTTATGGAACACTCCTAAAAGCAACTGACGGATTTTCTTCAACGAATTTGATTGGTGTTGGAAGTTTTGGTTCTGTTTATAGGGGGATTCTCGAGGACGGCGGAACTCTTGTTGCCGTGAAGGTGCTTCATTTAGTCCGTCACGGTGCTTTGAAGAGCTTCATAGTCGAGTGCGAAGCATTAAAAAACATTAAACATCGAAATCTTCTGAAGATATTGACAGTTTGCTCGAGTATTGATTATCAAGGATATGAATTTAAGGCCTTAGTCTATGAATTCATGGGCAATGGAAGCCTAGAACGGTGGCTACACCCAAACACAACATCATCTCACAAGAATGAGCTTTCGAAAAAGTTGAATTTCATTCGGAGGATAAGTATTGCTATTGGTGTTGCTTCTGCACTGGATTATCTTCATCGCCAGTGCCACTTCCCCATTCTTCATTGTGATCTAAAGCCAAGCAATATCCTCTTAGATGATGAGATGGTAGCACATGTTGGTGACTTTGGATTGGCCAAATTCCTTCTTGGATCATCCCTTGATACTGTAGCTAATCAGATGAGCTCAGTGGGTTTTAGAGGGACAATTGGTTATGCTCCACCAGGTAATCTCTCTACTTTCTATTCTAATGATATGAGCTCCATGTTCTTTTTGATGATCAACACTCTTATTTTCATCTCCCCTATGGTCAAAATATGTGGCAGAGTATGCAATGGGATGCGAGGTCTCAAGAGAAGGTGATGTCTACAGTTACGGCATCGTCTTGCTAGAGATGTTCACAGGATTGAGTCCCACCGACAATAGATTCAGAGACAATTTGACTCTTCATAGTTTTGTCGAGGCGGCTTTGCCTGAACGAGTGTTAGAAGTTACGGATCGGATTCTGCTTCTAGAAAGAGAGAGTCGTTTTGACCCCGATAGTCCTCAACATTGGCTCTTCGAAAGCAATGACATATTTCAAGAGTGTTTGGTTATGGTATATAATATTGGAGTCGCTTGTTCCAATGAAGTGCCTAGAGGACGGATGAGCATCAACGGTGTTGCAAATCAACTGCAAAAGATTAGGGAAAAGCTTTTTGCACTGGGTTTACGTGAACAAGATGAATTATCACAGGTGATATGATAACTTCTTATCCTCTCCCTTGTTTTAAATATTTAGTTTTGCTTATGCTAGTGCAAACATACATGGAAAATGTGAAGCAGAATATAGAATCAATCGTGCATTTTCAATAGAAGGTAATAGTTGATCGTCTTTTCTTGTCTGTACCCGTAATAAGCTACCATATGCCCCGCTGTGCACGGACCTTCATGTAATATCGTTAAAACTTGTCTCGAGTTTGAGAACATGGACGAAACTTGACCCTATGAAGTGCGGGAAAGTCAGGCAGTATAAAAGAATCAGAATTGGACTTTGAAAATGTATAACAGGACAGAAGCAGTCGATTCTGTAAGGAGATAATAGTTGATTTATCATTCCTCATCCTCACAGATATTGCACTAGCATGTGGTCCATGATGCACAATCTCGAGCATTGCTATGATATTTTATTAAATCAGTGTGAACAAATATTCAGTTTTTTTATCGGTATGAAGCTCATTTAGACGAATACAAATTAATTAACCATCGGCTATTTTCAATTGATATCCATGATCAACCTTTTCGAATGAATGAATAATTGTTCTAAGGACTTTATTTTAACGCAGTAACATTGTGGGGTTTCCTTCACGTAAATCCTAATCTGTCTGCTTTTTTGTTGGAAATTTATCTGTTCCCCTTGCAAATCCTAGCTTTTGTCCAGGCTTTCTAACTCAGAGGAGTGCTTGGTTTCTTTCTACAGCTTCACTAGGAATCACTACGCGTTGCGGAAGTTGTGCGAGACAGTTGGAGATGAGAGATGTTGCTGTCAAGCCCAGTATCTCTTTCAGATTCAGCTTAAATAAGGAAATGCTCTGTTTTTGAAGAAAAAAATGAATAAGTAATGGTTTAGCATAAGTAGTCTATCCCAATTCTGATCATGCGATCTGTGCTAGTTGTGTTTCTCTAATGGGGAATGGATCTCCAAAACTGCTATTTCTAAAGTATGCCAGTTTCATTACTCTTGTTTTGCCAGAGTTTTTCCTTCTCTCGTTCATTCATTTCTTTTCACAATAGAACTTGTTCGATTGATACAAAATGTGTTGTGTCTGCTATCAATTCTGACCAACCAGAAATCACCGGCACGTACCATCATGTCCTCATCAAGGAGAATACTAATCGGCTTAAGACCAGAACGAACTATAGCCATTTCACTATGATGATAGACATAATCCCACGAGTGTGATATCGATGGCAATGCTCTCAGTCTCTGAAGTGAAGACTCGTATTCTTCGTCTCATCACGTCTTTCATTCCATACTCAATCCTTTTCCAAGCTTCCAACGATCAAAACTCCATAAATAACGACCTCCAAATTGTGGCCAAGATGGTTGGCACATTCCTGAACAAAGCTCGACTGGGCACAATGACCCTGACCAAAATTTACCTCGAAATTCACCTGTAGCTTTCAAAAGGGCTTTCATAGGACACGACTGGAAGAGAATTCTTGGAAGGAGTTTGAAGTAGAAGACTCTCATTCTGAAAGTGTGCCAAGGATACTAATGACCACCAACACTGTTACTCCTAACAGCACTGCAAAAATTAGGCACCCGCCAGTTTGAAGGACATGCCTCCCTTTCCTCTTCTTGGATAGCTTTCAAGGACACACCATTCTAGAAGTAATTTGCTTGAACTGTTTTCATATTTGGGATTCAAGTTTTGTTTCATGATTAGCTGTTACTTAGTGTGCATAAGTCTACTATTGAGCACCTCAAATTATTAAAAACATACCTTCACCTCATTTAAATTTTTTCTATGATTAGTTAAAACTAATTTTCAAAGGAAAACCTTAACCCGGGAGGCAGGAGCTTAGCAGCCAACTTGAACTCGGGGGGTGGGGACGCTAGTATCACAGGTGTAGAGTTCGACTTCCGCGCTTTGCAAGAGGCAAAGCAAAAGTTAGACACTGATGAGAGTTAGAGATAGGACAGACAAAAAAAAAATAACTTTTGTTTGGTAAGTGTAATTTGAGTGAATTGCACTTGTAGTCACTAAGTTTCGATGTATCTCTTATGACGAAGTCATTGAACTTGATTTTAATCGCCCAATATATTAAATATTCGTCCTTTGCAATAATGTGTTTTGACACCAGTTTTTGTATAAGATACCGACATGGCTGTCATGTCTCATGAAGTCTAAGTAGATACCACGTTTTTTGTTTTTTGTCCCACTTTGAGCTAACTTGAATTGTAAGCCAATGCCATATGATTGTCGCATCAGCACTTTATCAAGAAGTGAGTCAAATTTCGATAAGAATACATAAAATGCAAAGAAATACTAATCTAGTATAACATTAATGAAAGCTAAAGTCCGCTAATGCAAATGATTAGTTGTAAAATATATTGAAGTTTATTGATCGAAAGTGAATTACTCGTCAAAAGTTTCTCTCTGTTTGCCAAATTACTCCTCGACATAAGATGACCTGTCAAATTCATCACAATCGTTGATCACGTGAGTCTTTTATATACGAATCCTACTCAATCGACGGTTATGATTGCCATGGGCCATAGGCCCCAGTCCCCCAGTCCCCCGGAGATGTCTCCTCAAAACGCTAGAGGAGAAGACCACACCTGATTCTCGCTTCTGGGTGACTCCTCAAAGCTACAAGCTTTGACCTTCGTGCCATCCCTCACCAATCTCACTCCAACGGAGTTCTCTTCTCATCGTCATCAGAAGGACTCCCACGTCCTCACCCCCACCCCCCCCGCTTTCTCAGTTCTCACCGCCTTCAGCGTCTTCTCACTCGTTTCTCCTGCTTCTCTCGGTCGCTCTCGCACTTTTCCTTTCCCCAAGTTCTAGCTCATCAAAATTGCGGTGCGGTTGGATCTGGGTGTGCCCTTTTTCTTGCCCCAATTCGAGGTTCCCCACGCACTCGGAAGTGATAGCTGGGCTAAATTATCCGTTTTGTCTCCGTTGACGTTTCTTGATTTGGTAACGAAGGCATTGGGTTTTCGAATTGGATCGGAAATCGGGATCTTTTTTCTAGTCTGGCGGAGAAGGAGGAGAAAGCTTCTACTTGAAAGCTCGTGAATTGGGTTTTTCTATTCTCAGAGTAGATAGAATTTTTGGATTAGGGTTTTGAAGGGGCTAAATCTGAGGCCTTTAGATAGTTTGGAATTGATACTTTGGTAGTCTCTTTAGGTTGAAGAGAGTGGGTGTGGTTTTGGCGGGATTGAACAGGAGTAATCTGGGCTGCTGATGCCATTTGTCGATTGGCAATTGGGTGGACTTTTTTCGGCGAAAGTTTTTGTTATACCGAAAAAGTTTTGAGCAGTATAATGTCTTGGGCAGGCCCTGAAGATGTCTATCTATCTACTTCCCTCGCCAGCTATCTTGACAGTAAGCTTTTCCTCCAATTAAGCCTTGTGTAATTGTGATTCTCGCTTGATATCATTGCATGTTGGCCAATTGCCTACTGCTTGCATGTCTTAAGGCTGAATTTTAGTGACTAAGTAGCACTTATTAGGTTCAGTAAGAATGCCTTTTGAGCTTGGTGTATTCTGGGATTGTCCTTTCTTTGTATATTTGCCAAGATGCTATTTATCTATCGCGACTGTGTCTGTTGTCTAAAACTTCTTATAATGATGCTTCAAGTGATTTATAAGGTTGAGGTCTTAAAGCAAGACCAGAGTGAGAGGAGGATGTCTGAGTTGAGAGTTGACTTTTACTTGATATTGAGTTATTAAATGTGGTGTGGAAGAAATGCTTTGCCTGAAAAAAATGATAGGATGAGCTATTTTTCCCAAAGAGAAAAGACAAGTTGACTCAGATGAGTGAGCAACCACACGTTCGAAAATTGGTTCATGTGACTTTCGCGTTTTCAATGCAAGCTCGTGCTTTTCCAAATCTGGCAAACACATAATTATACTTCATATTAATCTGTTGCTGTGTTAAGATGCCTGAGAAATTCTTTATTTTTGCCGTTTAAGTCGTCCTAGTCATCATCATTGTCTTCATCTTAATCATCTAAAAAGCCTTAGCCTTGAGATTTTCAAACTCTATCCCAACCTTCTATTCTCCCGACCAAGAAATATTATGAAAAGCAAAACATATGTAAACTTGTTTATGCCATTGATAAATAGAGTCGGATAGGTATTGATTGTGAGTATCCAGGTCATTAGTCACAGTACTTGCCTTTCATTCTTTCCTTCTAGTTGATGTGGCAATTTCTGTTTTTGCTGATGTGTTCATGTAATAATTTAAAGTTCTATGTAGTTGAAGGATTTTGCACCATATTAGTGCCACAGCATAGCAACACCTTGTTAAATGTTGCACTGCCATTCACTGGTGGCACAAACTGCTTGATCTTGGTGGGGTATATTTGAGACTGATCTTGAAATTTACTGTAGAATTGAGAGTTTTTAAAATTTAAGATAGAAAATTAAAAACCCTTCAAGTGTAGGTTTTTCCTGATAATTAGTCAATATTGTGCTTGTTATGATTAAGGTTGTTATAATTGGGATCCTGCTTACCTGCTTAGGACAGATGGGTTGTATGAGGGAATTGACAGCTAGGATCATAACATCTTAAAAATCTAGACAAAAAATATGAATTTGGAATTTTTGTTTGAAATTTCCTGATTATGATGACCTTTGAGATCAAAACTCTAAAGATTGTGACTTTGAGGGTTAAGTCATCTCTAAACTAGAATTAAACAAATCTTAATATTTCTATCACATGAAATATCAACATAATTGAAAGATATAAAAATTGGATCAGTAGGATGGTACCAAATTACACTTTGGATTGGGATCATATAAAGATCCTAATAAGTTAAGATCCTACCAATGACTTGGATCCCCTCTTTTGTTTTGACTAGATCACGATCCTAACAACCATGTTATAAATATTAAATTACTTCAAGAACTATGAAAAGTTTATGGGAGTTTGCTAACGTGTCTGAATATGTCACGTGGAGATGTATTAAGTCATTGTTTTTGAGTGTCATTTTGGTAGTCAAGCTTACTTTGCTTGAGATATGAGTATGAGATAGTCTATATGGGGGGAAGCTTTTTTTTTTGGTGCTCACTTGGCGGTATATCTTCCACAGAAAAACTTCTTGTGTTGCTGAGGGATGGACGGAAGCTCTTGGGGATACTTCGTTCGTTTGACCAATTTGGTAGATTTTTAAGTTTGTTTCTCATGTTTATGGTGCTATTATGATCTTGGGTTGAGATGTCTTATGGTATATTCTTTTGACAAAATGATTTCTTTCATGCAGCAAATGCTGTTCTTGAAGGTGCATGTGAGAGAGTCATTGTTGGTGATCTATACTGTGACATTCCTTTAGGTCTATATATAATTCGTGGGGAGAATGTTGTTTTAATTGGCGAGCTGGTAGGAGAAATATGCAGTGATTCTTTCTATCCTGTAGAGTATTCTATTTCATGCTTTTAAGTTTTTGCTATTGTTTTACTAGGACTTAGAGAAAGAGGAACTCCCCCCACATATGACTCGTGTCCCAGTACCAGAGATTAGAAGGGTAAGCATGTGGAATTTTTTAAGACTTTTAAGATTGAGAAAGGGTTGTTTCTCATTTGGGATCTGCTGTCATTCATTAAGGTATTCAATGTGGGAATGGATCTATTGTCACACTATTTTTTTTCCTTTGGGTTCATAAAATTGTGTGGCGACTTCAGTACACAAGGATTGCTTCAGGCCTAGTTCTGTCACTGACTTTAAGTGAACATCCTGCTGGTTTTCTTTCCTTAACCAAAAGCCAGTATTTCCAAGAGTTTTTATAAGACAGTTCATAATTGTCAAAATGGCAGGTAGACTTGAACTGTTTCTTCCAATAGCAGTCTAATATAAATTAAAGTAGAAGTAGAGAGGTTTTTTTGGTCGGCGAAACCGCTGTAGAGATGGAAAGATTTGGTCTTCGGTGTTCTTACGTGTTATAGCGAAGTTTACCCGCATTGGCATGTTACTGTTCATACTAGGGAAATGCACTTAGATAGGCGGGATACGTCATTTTGTATGAAATTTCCTTGCGATCTTGTTTCAATAATTTGTGATATCCATGAGGATAATTGCGTCTGGTTTTTGTAACTGTAGGCACAGAAGGCTGAAAGGGAAGCTTCGGACCTCAAAGGCACCATGAGGAAAAGAATGGAATTCTTGGATCTGGATTGACGTATGCTGGATCGATTGGTTTTTTCTCATCGGCTCCAGTGATGTCCGCATAATTTTTAAATCGCGGAAATTGGGTTTAAAAAGGCTGCTCTTCTCTCTCTCTCTCTTTCTCTCTGGTATCCGTGACATCTTCTGAGTAGTGTGGTTGCTTGTAACAGATGGCTCTGCATTCAAAAATTTGGAATGTAATTGTGATTGCGATTTGATTGTAGATTGATCATTTTTCATAAAAAAAAAAAGGGCTTAAGCTTCAGAACTTGGAAGTCAACTTTATCATGAAAATTTGGCGATTGATTCAAATGATGACCGACGTCGTCACCGGAGTATTATTGTGGAGCGGTAGTGCATCATTGCAGATTCATGCCCGATTGGCAGCTTTAATGTTCATATGTATCACGATTCGGACCCCTCGTTGGGTTGAGCTTGTCATGACCACGCTCCATCGTTCGTTCATCCTGCTATGCTTCTGTGGGTGTGCACGGGTACGTATGGATGGGAAGCCTAGCTTGTGATCGCAGACTGATTTCTTCTTCAAATTCGTTAATGCAGAGCAAGAGAACCTTGAGTTGCAATAGGTGTGTATAAGGACTGGCCTCTAACCTTTGCTTTACAAGGTGGGAATTAGAAACAGTTATTGCACCAGCGAAGGCTAAAGGCTCATTGTGACCAAATTTCGGCCGAGCCCTATTTGTTGCGTTGCCCATATCAATTTCAAGCCTAGTCCTGGTTGAATCTGACCGGAGGAGGAACACGGTGAGTGTTTGGTGTTTTCCTGAAACTTTCTGCCCCTTTTCGAAAAAAGTAAGAAGAAGATGACCTCTACTGGACGGCACCCTCCAAGAGAGAAGAAAGGACAAACACGATTATCAGCTCACCACCCCAAGTTTCTGGGCCGGTTTTTCCTGGGCCCGGCCCACAAAAGCCTAGAATATTCGAGTTTGTTTTTTTTAGGGTTAATACCATGACAAATCACAAAATTATACATATGTAACAAATTTACCTTAAACTCGGTACACCCGTGATAAATTTACCTTCCGTTAGTTTCTGTTAAATTTTACAGTCAAATTACAGAGTTTGATGACACGTGATAATTGACGGGTATATTAATTTATGATTTTACCCTTTGATTAAAACCGGTGTAATAATGTGTGGTTTTTCGTGATATTAATCTTATTTAATGGAAACTAACGGGGGATAATTTTGACACAAAAGCATCAGTTTTGGTTTTTTGTGATAAAAAAATTAATTTATAGTAAATTTATCACATATATATACCGATTTGAAATTTTTAATAATTTTAAAATTAATTTTGTGTAAATTTATTACTAATAAAGTAATTTAAGATTTTTCGTAATATTAATCCATTTTATTACTGAGTGGGGGAAACGACTCGGGCGAGTCGCGACGGTGGAGCTTGCGGCGGTGAACCGACACACCATTAACTTCGGCTTCTATTTTAGTACCGGCTCACGCCCGAGAAACCATCCTCCGCAACCGCTTCCACGGCGAAGCGCAATCACCGCCGTCCATCTAGAAACCCGGGTCCCGCAGAGAACGGCGCACGCACGTGAACGCGACTCCAATTTCCCTTAGCGGGCGGGAACCGCCGCGAGTCCCACAACTAGAAATACGACCGGGCGCAGCTGATGACCACCCCGAGCATCTCTCTCCCAGCGGCGACCGCAGTCGACGCACGCTCAAGAACTCTCTTTACTCCTCCGACACAATCACCACCGCCAGATCCACCGCACTCCACTCTCTCTCTCTCTCCGTGGACTGTGTTGAAAATTTTGAATCGCCGCGACCAGCTGAGCTGGTCCCGAAGCTTCTTCCCCCCCCCCCCCCCGCCCGGCCGAGATCGCCGTCGAAGCTAGCTCCCCTCCCCTCCACCGACGATGTCGCGGCGCGGCGGCCTTCTGGCGGCCCTCTCGCTCCTCTGCGCCTCCATCTCCGCCTCCTACGGCTCCGTCCACGAGTACGGCGGCGACCGGTTCGTCAGCAAGGGCAACGCCTTCTTCTTCCACGGCGGCAGCGAAGGAATCTACTCTTCCTCCTCCCCGACTTCCAGCCCCAACGACACCGCCGCCGCCGCCGCCGTTCCCTCCGACGGAGAGTCCTTCATCAAGTAACGCCCGATTTTTCTCTGCTCGTTCCGAGCTTCTTGTTTTTTTTTTTTTTGTTTTTAAGCGCATTTTGTTGCGTGCGTGACTGTGTTGGCTCCATGGTGCTGCTCGACTCTGATCTCGCCGAGATCGGTGCCGATTGTGTAGTTGCAGCTTCGAGCATTGTTGTGTTAGCTGCGAATCTTAGGATTTCCTTGGGAAAATTTTTTTGGCGTTGCGAGTTCGTTTGGTTGATCGCTTGTTTATTTCTTACTTGAATGCTTCGAGTGGAGGAACTAGTGCTGGCTTTGCAATTGATGTTAATTTTTGAGGACAGATCTGCCCGTCATCTGTGATCGGCAATTTTCTAAAATATCGCTCTTGAACTTTTGTGAGTAATGTTAAGCGCCGTGTTTCTACTCTTTTTCCTTCGAGTGGGTAGCTAAGGAAAAGGAAGATATCTGTTTCAGTAAGTTTTCTGAAATAGTGCCTGTTCGTTAATGTCACCTTATATAGTTCGACCGAATCTGAAATCTGCCGTGTGTTGACAACTTCATTGCATGATGGGTGGTGTGCCTGTGGTGGGGTAACCTAAGCAACTTTCATCTTTACTTTTGTGAGCTTGTTGTTGAGTTACAGGGGAAGTAGATCTATCTAAGCAGAACTGTTTGTACCCATGGATCTCTTACTTTCGAATTGATTCCCCATTTAGTTGCGCTGACACGATGTTTACTTGAACAGATTTGAAAAGATTAAGTTCCGGAGACCCAAGGAATATGCAAACTTTAGTTCCGAGTTGATACAAGCCATTGTTTTTGAGGTGGAAGATAGGGAGATTATTGGGGGTTCAGCCTATGGTGGTCAAAGAGCAGTCTGCTGTACAGCTGATCTTGCTAAGCTGGGTGTCTGCAAGCAGGGTCGGATCATTCACCGACCTTCTATGAAGAACGTTGACTGGCCGCAGGTGTTTGGCGTCTCGTTTGGAATGGATGATCAGGTTGTGACGATGCCTGCGAAATCAATACCAATAACAGGAACTGGGATGTATAATTTGTATTTTATCCACTGTGATCCTAATCTCAAGGAGTTGACTATCGAGGGGAAAACAATTTGGAAAAACCCTACTGGGTATCTGCCAGGTCGAATGGCACCTCTTATGAACTTCTACGGTTTCATGTCCTTTGCTTTTGTGATACTTGGAGTCTTTTGGTTCTCTCAGTATGCCAGATTCTGGAGAGAAGTTCTTCCACTGCAGAACTGCATAACCCTTGTAATAACCTTGGGCATGTTTGAGATGGCGTTGTGGTATTTCGACTATGTTGAATTCAATGAGACTGGAATCAGGCCCATTGGGATCACCGTGTGGGCAGTTACTTTTGGAACTATCAAACGAACGGTTGCGCGTCTGATTATTCTGATGGTTGCAATGGGCTACGGCGTTGTTAGGCCTACTCTAGGTGGGATTACCTCGAAGGTCATTATGCTTGGACTGACCTTCTTTCTGGCATCTGAAGTCCTTGAGTTGGTGGAAAATGTGGGTGCAGTCAGCGATCTTTCAGGGAAAGCAAGACTTTTTTTGGTTCTTCCAGTGGGTATCCTGGATGCTTTTTTCATCTTGTGGATATTTTCCTCCCTCTCTGCAACTTTGAGTAAGCTTCAGGTACTTGGTTCAGATTTCCAAGTTTGTTTCTTCTTTGATTGCAAATTAGATTCATTTTCTTCAAGTTTTGATGTTTAAGGTGGTGCATCCTTACTTTCTTATGGTAAAGATACTCCATCTGGGGAAGTAGAACATGAAGTTCTTTGCATACCCAATATCGTCTCATGAGGGTTTTGTTCTTATGTGGTCCTACGTAAAGAAATGATACTAAATATGTTGTTCATGTTCTTCTAAAAAGTCATCATCACCACCATGTTGAACTTGAACTTGCTGACCTGAAATAAATAGAAAACGTCAACTGTAATCCGCTTCTGTGTCTGGTCAATTGTGATTGCTGCGTACAATCAAAATCGGATTGTCTGTTTGATTCTCATCGATTGACCCTCAATCCCTTCACCTTGGCATTTGTGCTGGTAGGCTTAGTTTTAGAAATGCTGCATTGTGTAATGCCATGCTGATGACTCATATTGATGCATACATTACTACTTCATTTAGTAATTTATAGTAATTTAACTTGTGCTTGCTGATACAATGACAGGCTAGAAGGATGATGGTTAAACTGGACATCTACAGGAAGTTTACGAATGCTCTGGCAGTTGCTGTGATCGTATCTGTTGGTTGGTTATGTTACGAGGTAATAAATTAGATCACTCACGCATGAGTATGGATAGATCTACTTTTCCGGGGACTGGATTAAGCAGGTTAATAATTTTTCAATGGCAAAGGAATTAACTTCGACATAATCCATCATTGTAATATGTTTTGTTAAAATGCCTCCATTTCACAAATTTAAGCCTCTGGATAGATCACAAACAGAAGTGGGCACATAGTTCATGCATGATGTGACAGTCCGAGGTCCTATGGTCAGAGCACTGGACCCTTGTATACCTCCCAATACTAATTAATTAACAGTTTCAAGTCTAGCCAAATCCTTGCTTATGCTTGAGAAAGAAAGTTAGATTCTTTATATATCAAATCACGCCTCAGGCTGCAAGCGTGAGCTTCTAGGTGGATTGGAAGTGGTCACATAATAACAACAAGTGTTTGTGTTCTTATTGTTTGATTTCAAACAACGGTATGGATTTCAATTCAGGCACTAACATACCAATATTACCCTTGCTGAGTGTGAGGAAAAGATGGAAAAATATATATTTCACCTTCTGCATGAAGTTTACATGGTGTAACCATTAAAAAACTTGACTTATTGCTTGCAGCTCTATTTCAAGTCAAAGGATGTCTACAACGAGCTTTGGCAGAATGCATGGGTCATTCCTGCCTTCTGGCAAGTCCTGTCGTTCTCTCTTCTTTGTGTCATATGTGCTCTTTGGGCTCCATCTCAGAGTTCAATGCGGTAAGGAAGAACTTTCCTTTTCTCAAATTATCCTTTTCCTTTTTCCTCGCAGAAACTCATGTTATGTCTTGAAAACACTCACTTGAGCTATAAGACATACTACTTGCTTTTGACTTTTTACCTATTTCTTGCAGATATGCCTACTCATCGGAGGCAGGAGATGAATTCGACAAAGAAGAAACCAACTTGATACTTATTAAGCCATCACCCACACCATCAAAGGATGTCCATAGTGTGCAGGATGCTAGGGTTGTGCACGGCAGCAATGGAGCAGCAGATGGGATGGAAGAGAAGACAGAGTAAAGTTGCAGCTGAATTATGTTGCTGTGAGGAGGTTCACTTGTTAATCTTTTGACACTCGGTGACAAGACATAACAGTTCGTTAGCCTCTCCATCGTACCAAGCGCAAAAGTTTTCAGAAAACGGGTTCTTGTCATAGAGATCTTCACTTAAAATCAATGTGCCTCCTATCTTTGTAGATCTTTTACTTTGATTTATTTGTTCATCTGGTCATTGTATACATTACTGATAGTTACAGACACGATAAACAGAAATGAGTACCAGTTGTGTTGAACTCATCTTCTTATGGACATATGGTCCTGTTGCTCTAGTTTCGAAGGAGAGGTTTAAGCATGGATTCAGTCCATTAACGTGCTTCATTTTCATAATGTCATTTTGATGCCTTGTCAAACGGTTCATTTTGATCCCTTTGAGTACATTTTGCAACAAAACCGGTCTCCTTTGCCAGCATTATTTGTCAGACTTACAAAGGGCTACGATCCTTCTTGGCTATGAGCCTCAGCAAACCCTGATAGTTCATCCCAGGGAAATTTGCCAAATACCGCGTGGAAGGATTTCAAACGAGTTGAAGGGCAATAATCTGAAAGAAAAAGGGCTTTGAGGAGTAAATTGTATAACCGAAAAAGGCAAAGGGAAGGGCAAACTCACTTGCAGGCTAAAAACCATGATGCATTTGGATTTGTCTTCAGGGCGTGAATAATACTGAAGTGGGTCAATCCTGCGTGTTAACAAAGATGTGGGATGCTGACAAGTTGCAAAAGCATCTGATGCATTAAGCCAATTATTTCCCCAGACATCAGCGTTGCATCAATCATCAGGCTCAAATTCTGGCAATTATATCTTTTGGTCGGCCATGGCCGTTCCGGCAGAATTGATAACATGCTGGCCTTTTCTTTCTGCTGTTATGGTGTTACACTTGCGAGACAAATGTTAAATCAAATTGCTTTTCAGCTCAGCCTAGTTCAAGCTTTGGCTGCATTCAGCAATCTTAACCAGTGGAGGGAGTGGACATGCTTTAGCAGATGGCACCACAAAATTTGTTGAGGTCTCTTCTCTTCTGTATATCGACATTGCTAGCTCGTGTATTCGGACACCAAAACAGAAAAGAAAGGAAGGTATTGCTTGTGACCTAAGAAAACCGGGGGGGACCAGGATGGGGTTTGGCAGGGTGGAGGAAGGGATAATCCAAATTCGAAAGTTTCTCTCCTGTTTTACATCAATTTGAAGTCTCGATATAATTTGGTTTCACAACGGGACAATCATATCAGTATCAACACAGAAACTTGGGATCTCCTCCATACATAAAACAGAAACAGTTTCGCCATCCCTTTTCCGTCCAACATTGCCAGTTCACCCCAGGTCCCCAGTATATTCCAGACATTTATAACATCGTATATCCATGTCACTCTCTGATTCTGGAGGTTCACATACTACAAAAGACATGATGTACAGTCGTAGCGCATTTACATTCAAGAAGCTCCGTGTAGTCTTCTCTCTCCACAGGCTACACTTGAGGATGACATCAAATGAACTTGGTCCCTACTGTGTCTCTCTTTCGGGCAGCAAGAAAAAAAGGATTGATTGCACCATTTTCATCTTTAAATATCACGATTTGCGTCAGACAATAGAAATTGAGATGTGCAGTTATGACTGGCAACCGAGGGGCGGAATAACCCTTGAAGACGACCATTTCTATTTTGCACCCGACAGAAGGGCACGGCACATGAATTAGCCAAGAGCCCGACGAGTGAAATTTGTAGACCGATATATAAAAGGCACCTTCCCCGAATGGGGGTAGATGCAGAACACTCAGCAATTTTATCATGATAAGCAGTACGGACTAAGCACTTCTACCACCCGAGTTTCCAACTTCACCATGATTACAAGCAAATCGTGAGTTCTCGTTGACTAGTGCGACACGAATTCAGGAGTCGAACTTAACTTCGTACCATGACCTTTGCGACATTGATGCTGAGCCGATATACGCTATACTTTTGCAAACCAAGCTCTGAGAAAATATGTCCATTTGTCACATTTGACTTCGAGAAGGCGTTCACATAGTATATTTTTTTAACTCGTTTGTAGAAGTATCAACCCACTTAAATGTCAACCCTACTACATGCTGATCTGAGCTCGACGACCAGTAGCAACAGAAGTTTTTTCCATGGTAACCCAACCTTATTTGATCTTAAACAAATTGCATCTGATCTGAGCAAACAAAACATCGTTTAACATTATTTGAATCCTGCCACAAATCCAAATAGAAAATTCTTAGCACTGGACTCTGTGTAGCGTAAGAACATGCTTGAGCTCACCATGGCACATCTCTGCACCCTGCACTAGATACCATATGTGGTCTGACAAATAACGCGACTGGCTTTTATTCTATCAGACCGAAGTATAGCATAATGCTTTATAACCCTCTATGCTCAGCAACAATTACCAACTCGGTGAATACATGAGGAGAAAACGTTAAAAATCATTCCATTTTTCTATATGCATCTACTCGAGGTCGAGACCATAGCTTGATCTCAAAGAAATCTGAAGCTGAAAAAGGAAAATTGTCTCTGATATAAGAAGAAAAAAGCATAGCACACATACAACAGTTACCGTATGAACAAATGAAGCGTAATCAGAACGTGGTAATAAAACAAACAACAGGCTTACATCAAAGAAGCATTCGGCCAAGCGTAGGCTATTCTGGGGACCTGTACCAGATCTTGCAAGTAGCAACCAACTTAGGATCTCTTCCAACCAAACTGAATTTGACTGTTCTCCTCAGCGAAATCCAAAGGGCAAAGGAATACCAGAGCGGCGACCCCGTCATCTTCACCCAAATGCTCCCCAAAGAATTCAAAGAATGTGTCCTAGATTCTAATGAGCAAAACTCCACTCCACATCATCACTGGGATCTCCTCCTCAGGTGCTGGGATACAGGGTATCCCTCAAAGAAATCCAAGACAGCAGTCTCCAAATCCTCAACCGAGTACTTTATATAGTTCTCCGGGTGCTTCCCACTTTCAATATGGCTTCTGAAGCGCCCCAAGAATGACCTGTAAGCCGGAATCAACTTCTCCGATATAGAAATACGAAGCTCCTCCCTAAGCTGAGCGTCAGGCACAAACCATGTGGCCTGGGTCCGATGAACCTCCTCAAACATGGCATTGAAAGCCTTGAACCTCTCCCTAAGAGCATTTCTCGACACCCCAGATGAGAAGCTACCACTAACATGTAACCCCTCATCTCTTAGGCAATACAATACCCTAACCCATGTCGCTCGCTGGTAACTAGTCGCCGCCTGCCTAAACTTGCCGGTCATCTTCCTCAGATAATCGTCACTGATCATTTCCCTCAACTCTGGCGACCCTTTCACCTTTTGAACAATGTAATGTACATTGTTCATCATAAACAGGTGTGCCAGTGAATCATCTCTGTAGTGCTTGGACTTGCCCTCCAAATTAAATTGCAGGATCACAATAATCCAAATCAAATGAAGCGCCAGAGGGCTCTTCCCTTCGAATTCTGCAAACTCCATATCTGGGATCGTAGGATCGCCTGAGTACCTCGAACCGGTCGACGGCTTCGACACTATGAGCTCGGCCAAGGTCTGCTTATAATCCGATATCAAACTTATGTAATTCATCACATACCTCGTCAAGGGATGAATCGTCCCGCCCGGCACAGGGACCTGCGACGGCTCCCGCAGCACCGCGTTCTCGAACTCCGACAGAATTCCCCGTGCGGCCTCCCCGAGCCGGGACACAATCTCGGCCGCCTGAACCCGTATCGACTCCGCCGATTTACACTGGAAAACCACATCGATATCGGGAATCAAGTCCATCAACGCATCATGGAGGTCCAAAGTCTTGAACAGCTTCTCGGGTGACCGTCTGCTGATGCTGATCGCCTCCGCGAAATTAAACAACTGTATCGCAGGTCCCTTCACAGTCTCCATAAAGCAAGCATCCTCAATTTTGGTACCGATGCCATAGAAAATCTCTTCGCACAGCTTCTTCTCACTTGAGAACAAAACCCTAATGCAAGCCTTCGCCGCGCGAATCCATCGCCTGATTTTCACCTCCAGAGCATCCCAGTCGAGCCTCTGTATGTCACCGATGCTCAGCTTCTCAAACCCTAATCTCCTGAAGCTCGCGTCAACAGCTGATTTCCTCACGCTCCCGTACACCTGAACACACTCTCGCATGTACCCGCACGAGATCATCCTCTCCGCGATGCATCGGAGGTCGTAGATGGCCTCGGATGGCACGAGATCAATCTCGCGGATGCTGCTCGAGGACCGATAGCTGATGCCGCTACCGCTCTTCCTGCTCGATTCGGCCTTCACTTCGTCGGAGCTCAGATCCAGCCCGGAGCTCAGATCCAGCCCCTTGTGCGTCGAATCGTCGTCGGCGTAGAGGTCGACTTCAGCGCTGTCCGCGGAGGAGATCGACGAGTGGACCGAGGAAGACGACTCGGTCGTGAGCGAGTCAGCCTCGAGTGGACTCGTGTGACTCAGGAGAATGTAGCGGAACTCGTCCTCCAGCCTCGCCATCGCGATCTGGACGGCGGAGCTGACCTTGTCGCCCCCCTCGTCGTCGCCGCTGCCGCCGCCCTCCGACAGGGTGACGGAGGACATGGAGATGTGGAGCTCGTCGACGGCGCGGAGGTAGCGGTCGATCTCGTCGCGGTCGGACTGGAAGATCATCTTCTCGTGGGCGTCCTCGGAGGCCGTGGAGTCCCACCGGAGGATTATCTGCTCGGCCGCATCGATGGGCATGGGGCTGCTGCGGAGGGACTTTTCCGGCGAGTCCATGATCGGAAGCCGGAATCAAGAAAGCAGTGGGGAAACACAGAGAGAGAGAGAGAGAGAGAGAGAGAAAGGTAGGATCTTTACGCGAGTTTCCGCTCGGTCGATCCTTTTCCGATGATGGGTCTGTATAATTATAGGGAAAGATGAGAGGGAGAGAGAGAGAGAGCAACTTTCTTCTCGTTTTCTCGACTGTTTTTGGCCTTTTGCAGAGGAGAGTTTGCTACTCCTGGGTGGGTGTGCGCGCTTTCGAGCTTTTTTCCTTCCACCGATTGAGTTTCTCCTCCTCCTCCTCCTCCTTCTCCTCCTCCTACTTTTCAACCCTTTTTTAAATTTCTAGGCAAAAGGAAGGAAGGAAGGGAGAAGAAGAAGAAGATAGTCGTTTTTGTGTTTTTCTTTTCCTCCTCTCTTTTTCGCGGAGAAAATGTTTCGCGGGGATTGCGATTGGAGGGTGGTCTGCGAAGGCAGCTCTCTCGTTGGATTTTTTCTCCCTTCTTTTTTTTGTACAGGGGTGGGGTTTTGTCTGAATTCTGAGGTGCAAGATTTTGATTTTTCAGTGGTCGATTCGACTGTGGAAAGGTAAG